AATTAGATCCAGTGAACTTGTCTTCATCTTTAAAACATGTCTAACCAGATCCTTTACTTTAGCTTTGAACACTGTGAGTCATATTCTTCAGCATGCACTAAAAACAAATATGTAGCACCGCGTTGTTTAATTTTTGCAATGTGACTAAAAGAAAATTAAGCATGTCTCAGACTGATGCTGAAAATCTAGTTCATGCATTTATTATATGTAGGCTGGGCTATTGTTATTCATTATCCTCATCTCACACTAAATACTCCCAGAAAGGCCTCGAGTAATTCCAAAACACAGCAGTGTGAGTGCTAACTGGGACTAAAAATATTTCTCTCATATTAGATTTTCTTCATTGCCTTCTTGTCGAATCCAGAATTGAATTTAAAATCCTTCTCATATACAAAGTTTTGAATGATCATTTCCCATCATATACTGCCCCACCCTGGGGTTTCTGAAAGTAAAATGGGAGACAGAGCTTCAGCTATCAGGCCCCTCTACTGTAAAACCAGCTCCCAGTTTGTACTGGGGAGACAAATGCCTATTCTTTTAAGATTAGATTTAAAACTTTGCTTTTTGATCAAGTTTATAGCTGGGGCTAGAACCCTCTCTTAGTTATGCTGCAGTAGGCTTAGGCTGCTGGGGAATTTGGGCCCTGAACCTTTCTTCTTTTCACTTTGTGTGTTTATACATCACTGTTGCATTTAGAGGTTTCAACCAGCAGCAGTAATTATTAAACTGTGGCTCCCTCCCACGGTGTGGCTTCTTTGCTTTCTCCCTCTGCTCCCTTTTCTTTGTCCTCAACCCGCACTTTGATGCCTCCGCTCACCCCCAACCAGTCGCAGCAGGTGGCTGCCCCTCCATGAAGCTGGTTGTGCCAAAGGATTACTTCCTTTTAAAAAGGAGTTTTTCCTTCCCAGTGTCACCAAGGGCTTGCTCATAGGGGGTCGACTGATTCTTTGGGTTTCCTTTGTAATACTGTAGGGTCTTTACCCTACAGTATAAAGAGCCTTGATGCGACTGTTGTTTTGATTTAGTACTATATAAATAAGATAAAGTAAAATTCAATTGAATTTTGGGTCCCACCACTCAGTTAAAATTGATAACAATTCACTACATTAAAAGTCATATACATCTATATTGCTCTTACTAAGTTTTGTCTGTATAGCAGACTTTCTCAGTGCATCAGAAAATGATTGCACATAGTCAGAACACTTTGCATTTTAACTCTTACAAGCATCATTGATGGTCTGTTTGTGTGTTTTGTGTGATGCAGCGGTACAAGAGGAACGACAGAGGAACCGAGAGCGGGAAGGCGAGCTGGAATTCAGTGTTGGAGTGAATGACGAGATGCCTGTGGAGAAGATCTTGGAGGCAGAGACGGCTGTGGAGCAAAAGACTGAGCTTCACTCAGACGGAGGCTCTGCAGGAAACTCGGTGAGTGGTTGGAACGTAAATGCATTTACATGGCAGCACTATAAACCGAGTGATAGCTATGTTTATTAAGATGAAAGCTTACTAAAATTACTGGAAGCATTGATTGTCTTTTTTTGTTTTGTTTCAGCCACATGATGCTGTTAGCAACATCTGTCAGACTGCAGACAAACAGCTGTTTGCCCTGGTGGAGTGGGCAAAGAGAATCCCTCATTTCTCTGAACTGCCCCTTGATGATCAGGTCATCCTTCTGCGTGCAGGTATGAACAAGCACACACAAGTGATCTGATCAGCTTTGATGTTATAAGTTTATCAAAGGCACCTTACAGTATTCTTCTGAAGTGGCCAAATATGTCCTTTTATGCTGGTTATTGTAATTCTTAACATATAGTTACATTGCTATCTAAGTTATTGTTGTTTGGAGCCGTTTAATTATATTTGTGTATTTGAATACTCTATAAATTGCATACCTTGCAAAAAATTGCAAAATCGCAATAAATTGCATACCCTATAAAACTAAGCAGTGCTAAGAATTAGTGTACGAGAATGTCTAGTAAAAACAAAATGTAGAGGAAACTTAAAAAGGCTGTGAGTGAATGACCACATTTCTGCCCAATTTTGCTGAAATGTTTTAGAAAATATTTTTGAAGTAGTGACTGTTCCTAACTCCAGTTGTCTGGAGTGTCTATGTGTCTGGTGATTCCCCAGAAGGGTTTTTTGCCCAGAAAGGAAAGTGGCAATAACAACTTTTTTTTTTTCCCCATGCGGAAAGTGGTTCAGAACCCTGAGGACATAAATCTCACAGCAGCGGGGATGGTGTATACCAGTCCTCGAGAGCTACCGTCCTGCAGCTTTTAGATGCATCCTTGTTCCCACACACCTGAATCAAATGAATGGCTTGTTATCAGGCCTTTGCCAAACATGATGGCATGCTGAAGAGGTAATCAAACCATTTGATTCAGCTGTGTTGGAGTAGGGATGCATCTAAAAGCTGCAGGATAGTAGCTCTCGAGGACTGGGATTGGGCAGCAGTTGCACTAAACTGTCTTTGTATTATTGCCTACAACTTAAGGGAGAAAGGACTCTGAGACACATGAGTCTTTGTTTTAAATGTCATGATGAATTAAAATCTTATTGCTTTTTACACATCTGTGTGTAAATGGACTTAATTTCTCAGGGTGGAATGAGCTTCTTATCGCCTCGTTCTCCCATCGTTCCATTCCGTTGAAGGATGGAGTTCTTCTTGCCTCTGAGCTACAGCGCGATAATGCACACAGTGCAGGAGTTGGAGCCATTTTTGACAGGTACATTGATGGAAGTAAAGAATTGCCAGGATACAAACATATAAGCTGCACTTGACTGCAATGATTTGTGTTATAAAAACGTATTGTCTAATTTGACTTTTGTTTTTGATACAGAGAAAGTGTGCAGAGCGCAGAGGTCGGCGCCATATTTGATAGGTACATTTCCTCTTGTTGTTCCGAGTGTCTTACACAGTGTAGGCTCAGTGTTTTTGTTTAATGCTTTGAAACCTTGCATTCTTTCTCAGAGTTCTCACTGAGCTGGTCAATAAGATGAGAGATATGCAAATGGATAAAATAGAGCTGGGCTGCCTTCGAGCCATTGTCCTGTTTAACCCAGGTACTTAACATGGAAGAAATTAGAAACATTTAACTATTTCTTCAAAAAATGTTTTGGGCTTTTTTAATTTTCTGCATTTTTCATGTAGATGCTAAAGGGCTCTCCAACACCGGTGAGGTGGAGCTCCTCAGAGAAAAGGTCTATGCATCATTGGAAGCTTACTGCAAACAGAAATATCCAGAGCAGCAAGGAAGGTAATGGTCCTCTGCTGTAACAGTCTTTGTTGTAGTCCTGTCTCGTACATTTTGATCTTGTTAAGTGAGATGATGTCCTCTCTGTTCCCTGCAGGTTTGCTAAGCTCCTCCTTCGACTGCCAGCACTGCGATCTATTGGCTTGAAGTGCTTGGAGCATCTTTTCTTCTTCAAGCTGATCGGTGACACACCTATTGACACTTTCCTAATGGAAATGCTTGAAGCTCCCCATCAGTTGTCTTAGATAAGAAGCGTGTACTGTGGTTAGATAGCTGAAGCCTGGGCAGCGGGCGTGGGACTGGAGTGGCACTTTAAGTTCTTTGAAGATTTGTCGATTTGTCTCACTGCTGTCTGCGTTACACTTCTTTTAGTGCGGCACAGATTTGCGCTTTAGACCAAACCCAAGGCTTGGCATGATCTACAAGCTGGTGCTATATGTTTAATTAACTTCATGTGTAACTATGGGTAAACACAAGTATCTTTTGAAAATATAAACATTTACATATTTCCCTCACAGGATAAACTATAATTTGGATATACATTTTTGTATAAACTTTTTAGACACCTCAGATTTTAAGATTGTTGTTTCTCCAAATGATGGGATACATGAGAGGACGGCAACCAGATTCTTTTCTTAACGCGTTAACGACGCACCCTTTTTATAAATTTACACTCAACTCAGATCTAAAAGTGCATTATTGTACCAAACGACAGCTTTGAGTTTACTTGTATCCATTGCACATGATAAAATCCAGCAGTGACCCTGAGACAGAAGACAAGTGAGCAGTTGAAACTGTCAGGCCAGACTCGTACTGCTCATCAGGGTCAGGTTTATGTGTCTCATATACATATATATGCAGAGTATTGTTTACTTTGCCATTTAAAAGAATAATTATGTTGGGGTTAATGATTAGACTTTTCTGCACATTTGCAACGTGCTGTTTCTAAACCATACATTTAACAAATGCCTGACCTCTGAATGGTCAAGTGTTTGTCTTTTGGTGCTATTTCAGAGATGATTATTGGCGCAGATGCACACCAAACCACAAACCTATGAATATATGCAAAGCTAAAAATTCATTTGTCAATCTTTGTTTAAAATGTAGCAATACAAAATGTTAAACTAGGTAAGCCTGTCAGTTTTTCAGGGGTTTTACAAAGAAAATTATGTCCTGTGGAAAGGGAAGACTCCATTTTGTAATTTATCTTCACAAATCTAAGGTACTGTGCAAAAGTAATTGTTCAGGGACAGTGTATATTGATAAATTTGAACTATGATCAGGAAATACAAATTCTATAATTCTTATTTACCCTTTTTTCTGTTTTCAGCTAGTATAAAGCAGAACGTGTCTTGGGTTGCACTGGATTTGCTGAGACAGTTTCGGCTTCTTTTTTCTTTTCTTCTTCTTTTTTGAATGCTTGTTTTTCCTACCCATCCTCTTTTTAGATAGCTGTCTTCATCATCGTGATGTCTCTGCATTTTATTGCAAGCAAACAATAATCGCATTTAGCTCCATACCACCTGTGAACAGACATGAATTTTAAGTCCAGATGAGTGGGCCGTATGTAAACACCAGCTGTAATGGTAAACGTGTCACTGACATCTGTATGCTCTTGAACATAAAAGTGACTTGAAACATGGGTTGTGTGGACTAAAAATAAACAGGCTTAAGTTTTTCTTTCACATGCTTTGTCTGGTCTAAACGTGACTTATTTCTGTATTCATAGAAGAAAAGGTGGCAGAAAGAAGTTGATGACAAAAAAAAAATTGCATTTTGCCTTTTTATTGTAGTTGTTACATAGTTTTTGCTGTGGGTATAGATGCAATTGAAGCCTTGGTAGTAAAGCACTTTAGTCCAAGTTCCACAGTGATGTTATGGCACAGGCAGCAGTGTGTGATGGGCTAATGATAAAAATATAAGTGCAATTAAATCAAAGGCTTCCATCTGGATTTTACTGGAGTAACTGGTAAAGCCGATCGCTGGGTGTTCATGTTACAGTCTGAAGTGAAAATCCTACAGCTCTTAGAACCAAAGTGAAACCACCTCCTGGATTAAGCAGAAGTGTCACTTTCTTTTAAAACCATGCATGGCTTGGTTTTCTTAAATTATATTTTGAATAACACTGCTTTTAGTCTATAATACACTATTCTACACATGGAGCAAAAAAAAAAAAAAGACAGTTATGACATGTACATCTGTTTACAACATTCCCCTGTATTGCTTCAAACATGTTTTTGCTCTTGAAAAGTCAGTACAACCCGGGAAACGCACTGAGCTCCCAGCTCCTCCTGTAACTGCAGTTTTACTAAGTGGCATGCTACACATCGAATCTAAGGTGCTGAAAAGGTTCCAGTCAATTCAAAACAAAATAAAAATGGAGTGCTCATTTGATTTCTTTTTTTTTTATGCAGATTTATCACAATGCGCTAAATTATTTTCTCAATGGCTATGTTTCCATCACAGTGAAAATTAAAAGTGAATAGAGATCATTATGAATTCAGTCAAGGCCATTTCAAATTGATTAACAGCACGTGGACCTCTAAAATATTCAGTTCAGTACAGATTTTGATGTTTTAAAAAGTCTATAAATTAAAAAAATTTATGTGCTTCCTAACTAATAATTATAAATGTGCCCCCTGATGGTTTGCATTGAGAATTAAAAAAATACACTCCACATGCCCTGAAAATGGCAAAAATGGCCTGATCTCTCTCTCTATAATTTTACCTACACTATGAATGGAGTGAACCTAAATGAATCTTACAATAAGGCAACAGGATAACAGCTAATGTGCATAGCCAATCCTTAAGTTGTCATAAATATGTTAAAGCTATCTTCATAAACTACTTGATCCAAGACATAGCATGGAACCAAAAAAAGTAATTCTGCCATGACAAGTTTAAAAACACTGGTTAAAAATAAATCACAGCTCAAGAATGATCTACACTGCAATATTAACCTCTGCTCCCTCCCTGCCCCACAGACCGCACATCTGTAGCAACATTTTCGTTATTATATGTCCCTGAAAACATCTTAATAAATAGCTGTCTCTGAAAGGCACTCTGAAATGTGCAGCTCATAGTCTCTACAAAATAAAACGAAATAAACTCTGTGAAGATTGCTCACTTGTACTTCACCTCACTCCAGCTGTTCATCGGTGAGAATAGATCACGACGGTGACGATGCGACTTCAGTTCAAACTATAAATGTTTGCATCGTTAGCATTAGTCTGAAACTAGTGGGATTGCCAGTCAAACCTGTAACGGAGCTATTGGCAATCGCCTTTCTCTCTTCATATCAACTTTTAAAAATATCTGCGCCGTTTCTCTGATGAATTCCTTCTTATTTAGTAAACTAATGCACGCTTGCCTTGGATATGTGACTTTGATTAAATATTTAAAAACTGTGCTACTGCTGAATTGCTGGTTAACTGCTGAGTATGTTCTCAGATTCAGATGTCTGAATGGTTAATCAGTGTCAAGGATCTCACTTTCCTTTGAGACCCAACTTTTACATCCAGTGCAATTGTTCCTTATTTGAGCACCTTCTTGAGCAAAACGAAACACAAAACTACCACAGTAGTATATAACAAAATAACCCTCTGCACAAGGCCATCTATTCAATAGATGAAATGTCTTTTTTGTCACGAAAGCTCCTGGGCTGAAACTAAACCCAAACATATTTATTTGAACTGATTTTCTAGCCCTCTCAATTCACTGAAGGCCACGGGGATTAAACTGCCAACTGTTTTGACTCCCTCGGCCTTAAAAAAAAACAACATTTCTGCAGGTGTTTGTATGCAATATCACATTGAAAGCATAACTGTGATGAAGCCTTATGAAAGCAAATCATGTGTAAACTGTGTTTAACCGACAAGGGCAAAGCTTAGTGGTTTTAATGCAGCACGCTGTTTCTGCTCCCTCTGCCCATCAGTTCAGGAATAAAATCCTGTTCTCCCTTCTCTTTCGTTAGGAAGCACTTGGTCAAGTCCAGACATACAAAGATGAGATCAACTCATCAAAGCTGGGGTTGGGGAGGGGGATTTTAGTGCCAAACCGGAGCAGAGTAGGTTGACGAGTTGGGTCTTTATGTCCTTATGGGGGGTTTGGGGCAGTGAAAGGGCTTCCAGATAGCGTGGTGTCCCGTGGGGGTCCAGCTCACACTTGCATCTCCGAACCATTAGACAAGCCAAGAGCGTTTGCCTCCTCTGTTGTCAAACCGTTCCTCAGTGTCCTCCTCACTGTGCACACAAGAGGAAAATTCAGAGTGGAAACATAATCGCCTATCATGGAAAAATGTTTTGTTTTTTTGCATTATATGAGTTTACATATGGAGCTGATTGGAGCTTTCTGCTCTGTGTATGAAAAGAAATGAGGCAGCTCGCCCAATATTTGACACCACTCACATGATTTTCGATTGGCTCGGGATCGTCTCCTCTCCCGCGGCTGCGTCCGCTGGCTGGGCCCCTGAGTGGCTGACCTGACAATCCTCTCCATGATCTCATCTGCTGTGTCATCTGTGCAGTTTACTGGGTCGTCGTTGGCAGAGCACCATGGGGCAACACGACCTAAAACAACACAGTTAAAATGGGTAAGCGAAACGTCTGATGGTACCAAGGTAATAGCATCTCATAATATTCTTTAAAGGGCTAAGTCATTTAGTTAAACTACAAGCAGGCTTAACGACAGACTTGATAACCTGTAATTGTAGTTATTTCTGAATTCAATTAACTAAACTTGAGGCATCTGGCTCTGTAAATCTCAGAAATAGCATGTCTGAGCAGATATTTGAACTCAGTAGCATTACCTTGGCCTGTAGTACTAATGCAAATCGTTTTTTGATAGTACTTTTAGTTTGCATGCTTACTTTCAGTAAATGTTGCTACAACATTTAGCAACATCTTGTAAACAGGATGTCATAATAGGCCCTTGAAAAGCCTTCAGCTGGCATTTTGGATCAGCTGAAGTAAACGTAAAACAGGAAGATGTTCTGCTCCTCTTTTATGTCACACTCACATTCCTCCCACAACCCTCCCTCAGCCTGGTTTTGCCAGTTTATTTGTGTTAAAAAAGTCTTCGTCCTCCATATGCTTTGTCACTGAGGATCACCAAATAATTTTGTATTCCTCTCCTTAATTTTGTAGTCTGTGCCATGTAATATAAAGCCCCTTCACTATTGTGAATTGGTCTTATGTAAATAACATTTATTTGTAAAATCCAAAACTTAACTAAAGATTCATGGATGACCATTCCCTGCTATAACTTCTCCCCCCTATAACTGAATTGTTGCTTACTGCCTTGAAATGACTGATTAAAAATGAACTGAAAAATAATAATAAGCCATCTGCCTTGACTGGTTGGGGTGAGCAGAGGCACCAAAGTGGTGTATAAACATAGAGATTGAAGAGATTTGCTGCTACATTGCTAAATAGTCCTAATTAAACTTAGGTTTTAGGTAGAATTCCTTCAATAAAGATGAAACAACTGTTACTGTGTTTGACTTGAATAATGCAAATCTAGTTTTCTGGATGGCAGTGGTAAAAATAAGGAAATATTTAAAAGTGTAAAAGCACAACACGTAAAGGAGAAGAACCTCTGGTGCTACTGGCTCTGGTGCGTGTTCGAAGGCCCGGCACTGTGGATGATCCACTCTCTCCACCCTGCAGGCTACTTTTTAGGACGGCCTTCATGTTCTCGTGTTCTGCTGCATCTTCGGCACTCTGGACACTCTGAGGCTGACTCTCCGGTTTGTCTGAAGGGGCTCCACCAAATTTACCACTCTACAGCAACAGACGGGCACATGAGATTGTGTTAGCAGTATAATGTGACTCAACTCCACGCTCTGAGACCTTTTACGTATGAAAGTCGTCACACAGGTAAACCTTTACAGGTGACAGTGCTTTCTAACCTAAAACAGGAGCAGTTAGGCATTTCAAACACTCCACCCACAACTCTGAGATACAATCTTTTTTCTCCCTCAAGACTGGTTCTTGAAACAATGCTGACATGCCGGGTTCAAGAATTTCCTTATATTTCACCTGAGTATCTGTGAGTTGTTGAAGTTAGATTCAATCAACAGAACATATCATGCAGACACTTCTTTCTGTCCATCGAGTTTCCTCATCCACGCTCGGTCTCTCTTACACACACAGCCTGTCAGTGTCACAATCGACTCTGTTTTTCCTGATGTTACAACACTTGGTGTTTTCCAAAGTTACAACAGCGTGTCTAAAAAAACAGGGTTAAATGCAAACACCCATGCACTTGTCTGCAAACACAATTACCTCACTATCATTGTCATCTTCACTCTATGGAAAAAAAAATAGTAAAAATTACATTTTTGCAGACTTTAAAATAATAGTATAAGTTTTTATATTTTAAGATAAGACAGTGGTGCAGTCTTGTCACCTAATTTTTAGGAAGAAAGCAAATACCAGAAGTCCTTAAATATTTAAACACATTCTTTTTAATACCTGCATTTTCGTGAGACTTTCATCTCCTAGAACAGGAATGCCAAACTCATTTTACATCTTGGGCCATAATTAAGCCCCCTTTTATCTTAAGTGAGCCAGACTGGTGGAAATACCCTTTCTGTCAGTGTAAAGTAGTTTAACTGTGCATTTAATTGCTGAGATATGTCAATACAAGAAAAAGAAATGCAGTGTTAATATCTCAGTTTTTCAACATGATGAAGAAATGCTGTTGTGGTTATTGAAAGAAATGAGTCAGGATGACTCTTTGGGCTTAAAATGTACAGAATAAATATATAAAATTACAGACAATTCTGGTAGCTCAGTATTAAGTGGAACGATTTGCTAATTCACAGAAAATGCCCTATTTTACTTATTTATTCTACTGCTGACACATTGTGAAATAAAATAGAAATGTCTATAGTAGATAAAATTACTATAGACTTCCCTGTCATGGTTTCCTGTCAACTTTTTATCAATTACTTTCTTACTGCAGCATGAATGGCTTTGGTCTGAGGTGTTTATCAGTAGGAAAAGCTGTACAAGTCCTAAAAATACAGTTAAAAGTCTAAAAACGTATTCCATCCTTTACATTTGACAAATATGTCCAACGGGTCAGATTGGATTGTCTGCCGGGCTGATTCTGGGCCCCGGGCCTTATGTTTCACACCCCTGTCGTACACCATAAAATCATCACTGCAGATTCAAGCTGTGCAGCCCAGAGGAGCATATTTGACTGAATTTCTTTGTAGGAGTGTGAGCTGAAGAGTGGGCCATCCAGAAATCCAGAGTTTGAATTCTCACACAGTGATTGAATTAGGGACCTTTTGAAGAGCGGGTGTTCTTGCCAGAGCCCGCTGTTGAGTCTGCTCTGACAGTCCGGGGGATTTTAATCATGCGGTGAGGTGTTTGCTCTGGCTTTTCTTAGCTGGCTCCAGCTACAGAATAGGATACACTAAAAACAATTCACTGATTGTTGTTACAGAAACCTATACATGTGAATACCAAGGAGCTATACCGATGTCCTTACAAATGCCGCATTTGGCGCTTTAACCAGATTAAGGATATAAGCAGCGTCTAGGGATGGGCCGTATTGTTTCTCAGAAATCAGAAAGCTCAAACTAAACAAAGACGAGGTTTATGAAATGGAAAAATGTGCGTGTAGGTCGGCTGAAGACGACTTACATCTGTTATCATTTTTCCCCTGGTCTTGTTCCTCTCTCGGTGGTTGGCCCTCTTCTGTTTCTGCTGCAGCACGCGCTCTCTTGTCGTGCGATATTCTAGAGCAAATTCGCTCAGTATCTTGCTAAAGCGGTGTATGCTGACGTCACGTACTGCATACACCGGATGGCCCAAGAACAGCAGGAAAGCATGAAACCTGGAGAAGAGTAGAGCGACAATGCATCATTATACATGCTTTATCATTAACGAGAATTCAAAATCTGATTCCACAGTTATATTTCTAAGATATAAAAATTCTGGAAAATGCGTAAGGAAAGCTTTAATGTGTAAAGGATTATCTACATGTGAATGCACCTGTTGATAATTCTTCGATGTACAATCTTGAGTATGATGATCCTCTCTGCACAGTCTTTGAGGAAGTCGGACATTTTTTGTTTCAACGCTGGTTTCATCTCGTGTTTTGCAATGACTTTCAGGTGATCCCATGATGCTTTGCACCTTCTCTCCATCTGGGCCAGATTGTCTTGAAGCTGGTCAAAGTCCACCTAACAACCAAGACAGACTTGAGGTGATGTGGCATTGGCATTTATGTCTACTAACAACAAACTATTTTAGATTAGTTGTTAAAGTGAAATTTTAAACGGAACCTTGGTCAAGCGGGTAACAGCGCCAATCTCAGAGTAGAGATCAGTACTGTCTGGAAACTTCTCAACCACGATGGAGCAGGCGTGGTGCAGCAGAGATTGCTTATGAACTGTATCCTTCACCTCAGGGACCTTCTCCAAATAGTTCAGCTCAAAGCCTTTAGCCTAGAGATATATGCAAACACAGGAGCACTCTCAGAGTGTGGGATGGAAACAATGGTCTAAAATTAAAATCAAATGCTGCTACTCTAGGACCAAAACTGCAGTGAACTTCCTCTTTGGCAGAGTCAGGGAAAAGAAAGGGAGTTGAAAAGAGCTAAGAGTAGATACGTAGATTCATTAGACTGAAACTACACTCTATTTCAGGGCTGACTGATTATTCTGCTCACCACAGCGAAGCTAAAAAGCCAGAATGAAAGACATAATCCTAATCCTAACGGGATCTCCCCTTGTTCTCCTGCCAGCTTTAAATGGCTTACTGCAAAATATAAACGTGGCCATTATTTACGGTAACTGCCTGTTTTGATGTTGATGACTTATGTTTCCCCTTTGCATGTTTGGCTCGCATATCCCAGAGGTTCATTCATAAATACACTTACTCACAGCTGCATACACACCGAGGCACACGCAAGGGCAAAGAAACACAGATGACAAAGTGAGACAAAAACAAAACAAATGAAGGAAAAAAAACAGAGACACATATGCAGGTTCACACATAAAAAGGCCAGACAAAAAGAAATTCTCAGAAATCCCAAAACCTTCCCTCCCCTTTTCTCTTTTTGACACACACACACACACACACACACACACACACACACACACACACACACACACACACACACACACAGAAAGGACCAGGTTTAGCAGAGGCCTTGACAAGTGTTTTTACTGTAGAAGGACAGTATCTGGTGCAGTCAGGCACGCAGAACTCTTGCCAAATCAATAGGCTGTCAGAGGAGGTGGGGGGTGAGGAGCACTGCAGAAAATGTACAAAGCGAGTAAACGCTACAAACGACTTGGAGGTTTACTTACATTGGAGCCATTGAGAAAGTTGCCAATGGCAAGTAACGTGGTCAAAATGTATCTGAGTGTCTTATTTTTTTCCAGCTGATCCATTCCTTCCTTCAAGTCCTGCAAAGGCTCTGCCACTTCCTAAAAGAGCAGGAAAATACAGTCATGAAGCACATGACACATCCCTGCATGCCTATTTTTTTTCCAGTGAAGTCTGTTCTTCTCTCATCATACAGATGTACCCCATATAGGAAAAACAAATCTTGTTTAAACTATTCACTGTATATAAAAGGCGGATGAAGTTTCTGGACGTCAAAAGTGAAGATAGTTTGAAAGTGCCTCAAACCTGCATTCTTTCTAGTGGCCAGCAGGAGGAGACCACTGGGTGCAAAAGGAAGTACAGTTGTACTGAAGTCTACTGGAAAGCTGTTGCTAAGCCAAGATAATCACCAACTGGCTGTAGCTTCATATTTACAGATTTCGTGCGATAATTGCTCATATTTCACTAACTAATCGCAAGCATATTTCCTAATATATCCTTTTTTAATTCACAAAATTTAATTTTATTATAAGGAAATTAGAAGCAAAAATGAGATATAATGCACTTTTGCAACTGCTACAAGCACGATTGATGCTGACCTTCTCAATAATTTCGTAGTCCATCTTGAATGCCCACAGCTGCAGGCGAGCAGACAGCTCTGTGATGGAGGAGAGGGTGAGAAGGAACTGTTCAGCACTGCCCAGGGGGATAGCAGGGTTGACCAGCTGAGCTTCCTGGATCTTTTGCTTCTCCTCCTCTGTGGGGATCATTGTGAGTATTTTCTAGTGGCAGGAAGAGAAAAGTTAGGGAGAAGGTGGGAAAACAGGCGTATAATACCATTTAAACACATTGATTTTTTTGTTTTGTTTTGTTTTTTTTACTGTAAATCAGAGTAAATAAAACAGAAGATTCAATTCAAAATTGCATGAAAACAACTCGAAATCAAGCTGATGATCACAATATATCTTAGCATCTCTGTATTCTGATAAGCTGGGGAGTTAAGATGAGTGGGAGAGAGAGGAAGAGTCCATAGGTGTGCGTCATAAGGCAGAACCTTATTAAAAAGACTTACCTCGATGCCTTCTTTGTTTAGTGCGTACTCATCAAAGTTGAGAATGGCAGTCTTGATTGTGCGGGGAGGAGGTAAGACAGTCAAACCGATGTTTATAGCATTGCTGCGCTTTGAGTCCAGGACTATGATCTCTTGCCGTTTGCCATCAACAGCTGCTTTCTACAAGATACAGAATATTACGAGTGTGTAAGAAGTGTGCAAAAATGTATCCAACACATCAACCTTGGTAGAAAAACCTCAGTTATAATTATTTTTTCTTTTTCCTGATTCCCTGTGTGGTCTGTGCTTAAAAGACTTGGAGGTCTACATGGCAGTGTTTCATGTGTTACAGTACATGTTTCTTAAAATGTCACAGCTTTCTGCACTTGAAGGCATTATTTTAGAACATATTTTAGTTTCCGGAGCAGGGTTGGCCCCTGAACCTACAGATTTTTGAATCAGTGGATCCTGTAATAACTCTGAAGATTTAAGAATGTGTTGATGTGCTCTGGTCCCATAGTTTACTTTAACATAGAGGTAGGGGTGACTTAATCTAAAGTCCGTCTTGTACCGTGTGCTTCCTGATTTATATGAGACAACAAGCACAATTAGCACCAAACTAAATCACAAAATGATCCTTTCAAATAACCAGCTAGGGAGGAGAGCTGCTCTAATAGCAGTCTAGACAGCAATTACCTTCGTGACAGAGAGCTCCTTGGATTTGGACTCAAACAGCTGCTCCAACTTGGATGTGTCCAGTGTAACTGGCTCCAGTTTGGACCAGAGAGAATCCTTACAGAATTTATGACTCTTACACTGCCAGTCCACAGGACGAACCTCATTCCAGAAGAGACGGATGGTCTTCTTCTTCTTCTGGAAGAGAGGAATATCCCCTCGGCTCAGCTGAGGGGATGGCGGAGGGATAGGGGCCATAAATGGTGGAGGTGGAGGCATCATTTTGCCAAGGATGGGAGGAGGTGGGGGGCATCCAAACAGTGGTGGTGGTGGTGGCAGGGCGGTATTGCACGGCAGGGGAGGAAGAGGTGGTATTAGGTCACCTGACCCTGTCGTGCTGTCCATATCTAAAATGTCCATGTCATCCTCATCCTTCAGGTCGGTGAAGTCCATATCTTTGATCCGCAGCTCTCTTGGTTTGGCCATCAACTGGTCCCAGATATAGTCCGACTCTTTCTTTGGGGCTAACGTTGACGAGGCAGCGGGCGATGATTTTTCAGCCTGTTGCTGCTCTTTTGACATCTCTGCTTCAGGTGGAGATGTCAGGCCTTTGACCAAATTTCCAAACTTCCCCGCCACTGCCCGGACGCTGCCCTGATTGTCCAGATTTCCCACCTCCATCTTTTTCACATTTTCTTCTCTGGCCTGTCTGTGAGCCTCCAGTGTGGAGATCCTGCTAGCCAAACTCGCCACAGAGTCATTCACCTCCTCCTTCTCACATTTACACTTCTCCTTTTCAGATTCTCCCACTTTCCCATCATCCTCAGCGGCCGTCTTCTGAGCATAGAGCATGTCCAGCATGAAGCGTTTCCCGTTGAGAATTTTGTTGCAGTGGTCATTCACATCTGCCTCTTTAATGCACTGAGTCCATTGGCCTGAAGGTATAGAAACAATTTCGATCAAATAGAAGGTAATATGAATAGTTGATCATCAAAGTAAGCAAATAAAATCTGCAAAATGTTTTAACTCTACCTGCTTCGATTTCACGGTTGAGTTTCACCTCCCGCTCCTCTCTCTCCAGAGTGCTACTTGTGGAGGAGATGCTGGATGCAGAGCAGTTGTCCTTTTCATTCACCTCTTCATTCTGCCTCTCTTTTTCACTCAACAGCACACTGTCATCTACATCCCTTTCTGTCACCTGCTCCTTCTCAGACTCCTCCTCCAACTCTACTGCTTCTGCTTCTACATCCGGCTCTCCCTCCTTTACCTTATCAGTTACATCTGCTTCTTCTTCTGCTGCCTCATCCATACGCTGTCTCCGCTCCTCAAGCTTCACCTGCTCTCGTGTCTCTTCCTTACTCTTGCCTGACTGTCCAATTGAAGCCACCTCTACCGCTACCTTCTCTTCAGCAACAACATCCTCTGTCTCTGCCTGCGACACCGCCTCAGTTTGCTGTTTGTCTGGTTCAGGGGGAGGTGCAGGGGAAGGTTCTAATACTGGTAACTCTGGTGCTGCGCTTTTTATTCTGGTCTGTGGTTCAGCATGTGGGATGTGTTCTGTTCCTGGAAGAGAAATTACGGCAATATTAAAGAAAAATGTTACTTTAAATGTTTCTGTACAGAGTTATGTGCCAACGTATAACTCTGATAGTGTTCAAGAACAAAAAAAAAGTTAAAGGAAAATCTAAAAATATATTTAAAATTGCTTCCCGGCATATCATTAAGTGTGCTGATACTGACATTCTCAGACTGAAATACATAAATCAATCACCTAATCCCTTTATACGACTGGCTGAAACACTGCAATGCTTTACGAAAAGTCTGAGAAAAATCCTTCAGCTTCAGCCTTTATCTTCAGTTTAAAGTCACCAAAGAAGCATGCTTTACGAAGATAAACTGAAGAAAAAAACAAGAAATTTCTGATTACAATCTTACATTGAAGTATCTTGAAATTACTGAGAGTCCATCAGCTGTTAACCTTTGATATCAATCCATAGGAGCTGAAGGCCGAGCGTAAGCACCTCTGCACATCTACATTGCAGTGCAGCTTCAGCCCAGCTTCTCCTTTTGTTGCTTTGTCTGACTTTATCATTTATATAGCGCCAAATCACAACAACACTTGCTTCAAGGTGCTTTATATTGTAACGTAAATATAGATGGTTTCCCTTATTTACTAAGTGGTCACAACAACAGATGAATAAGCACAATTTATTCGGCACAGGTTTTTGTACTGGATGCAACCCTCCCTCTTACACAGGCTTGGAACTGGTACAAGGAGTACACTAGAACCCTATATTATTTGTGTATAAGGCAAATGTGTTAACCACTACACTATGGAGCCATTAAATCACAGCAGATGGAAACAGAATTATTTTTATCAAGTTTTAATGACAGGCCAAGTGAGGGAGACAGGAGCACAAACAGCCAGTATTGTGTCCTTCAGCTGTGTCATCAAGCATTCATTCACTCATTCATGCACATATCTCTCAAGTCCTAATGAAGAATACATGTTTGACAAACAAGGTGTACCCAAACTCTGGTGTGTGATGGTGGAGGTGTCTTCCTGTGAAATCACGGATGAAGGTGTAGCACAGCGGGATGCTGAGCGGCTGGCGGGGTTTGGACTCAAACACAGAGTTATCTCCGTTCGCCCTCTTGTTGGCACTTTGGGGCGCTCCCGCTCAAACTCCTCCGCAGCTACCCGTTCCACAGCCTTGTACCTGCAGTGACAAACAGCTGCTTTTACTTTTATGTGGACACTGCGCTGTAGTTACATGAAAAGCGGTAATGGATAACTAAATAAAATACAGGATGCACAGTAAATTTGTTATGGTGATGAGGATGATGTTTTTTGGGGTAGTGACATCTATATAAGCATAAATCTCCAGCAACTCTAACTATTGAAATATACATGACAGTTTAGACTTTAGAGGTATGATGACCTCATATAACAATGATCAAAAAGTTATGTCAATGAATAGAAGCCATTTACGTTGTCTCATTCCAGGGTAATTACGGAAAATGGAGCCATAGTCCCATTACTCAATGACTGAAATGATGACAAATCATATCCATGTTGATAAAGTTGCCAAAGTTCTCTATAAGATTTTTGGCACGAGGTAACACTTCACATGTCCCTCAAAATTGTGTAAGTTGCATTTTCAAAAAACATGCATGCCAAAAGACAACTACACACTATTCCTGTTAAACGTTGGAACAGCTTAAGGCTGAGGCAAATTGTACATCTTATATCTGATCAGATATTAAAATGCTTTTTAGTTTTTAACCTAGCTTCACAGCTGCAGCAGTGCATGCATGTGAAACCCTGAAACAAAGTAACCTCACCTTTCTTCTCTGGCTTGTCTTGCTTCTTCCCTCTTTTCAACATAATCTCGACTGAGACAGAAAGACAGAAACGGATCATGGAGAGCAGGGAGAGCATGGGCAAAAGACAGTTTAAACCTGCATTCATACTACATAAGATTTTTATTTACATCTGATATGTACAAAGAGATCGCCGTATGATGCTCCATCTGCCGTTATTCTCTTTACAGTGTACACCACTGTATGGACAAAAGTACTGGGCTGTGTACACATTAAACTTACAGGAGCTGCTGATGCTGATGTCAGAGGAGGAACTGTGCAGTTACTGGATCAGCAGAGCGTTGGACTTACATGGGATCTCTTGCCACCCCCTCTGTTCAATGCTGGATGTTCAGAGTGGACATAGATGGCCTTTTTTTACTCTTGTCAGTTCAAAACGTGAACACTGGCATCCTCGAAAGAGTGGCCTTTATGTTTTAGATGCAGATCCACAGCCAAATTTGTCCTGTTGAGGTGGCTCTTGTATGTTGTGCGATTTATGATGTGGCAGTTTGGTTTCTCCAATGTAGACGTCTGAGCATTGCTAACCGCACTGCACAGCAATACACTGTGTTGCTTAGCTTGTGTTTGGGAGTTTTGAACCAGTGTTCATCTGAGGGTGTGGCTGGGTCTTAAGTCCACTGGGATGTCATGCTCAGTGAAAATTCTCCTGAGCTTCTCTGACAAGAATGACCTTTAAAACGACCCATTAATTTACAAATGTTTGCAAAGATAGACTGAATAGTTAGGTGCTTGCTTTTAAACACCAGTGGCAATGGAGTGAAATTAGCTGATTTCAAAGTTTAGGAGGTGTGGCCCAATAATTTTGACCATTTAGTTTATCTGGTTATCCTCACCACATATCCTCACACTGGAGAGATACGTGGTCATCTTTAGTGAGTGAAGATGGCCTGTTGTTAACCCGTCTTTAATAGGTTCCACTGTACAGAAGCTATACATCATTTTTTTAAATGCTAAGAAGTCACATAAGGGAGGCTAACCTAAAGCGGTTCCTCTCCTCTCTTTCAATCCTCTGCAGTCGCTCCTCTCTTTCCTGGCGTCGCCTCTCTCTCTCTGCAGCCAGAGACTCCTGATGCTGTCTGTATGATAATGTTAGCAGCCCCCCTATAGCAGGTCTGTGAATCAGAGAAAAAGAGCAAATAAGATTAAATTATTGCTAATTAAGTGAATGACATATACTTTGATTTATGCATTTGGAAGTTTCTTCAAAATAAAAGCTTGACAGAGTTATAGTTAACATTAAAAATCGTTTGCATTAGCCCTGTTGCTAACCTGTCAGGTTTGGATTCTGGTGTGGAGGTTGCTGAACTATTAAAACGACGGACGGGTGATGTAGGAGTTTGGTTCTGGGATATGGATTTGACGCCAGGATGTTGAGTGCCATTGCCACTGATTCTGTCAAAAGAAAAGGAAAAAATATGTATTGTGCTGAAGACAGACGAAGACACAGAGGTGGATGCACATCATCACCACTAAAACAATTTAAGTAAATAACTTCAATGTGGCCTCTTAATAAAAACAAAAAGATGAAAAAACCTGACAAATGACGTTTTTTCAGATTTTTTTTGTAAAACAATAAATTTGAGATATTATTAAATATATTTTAGCAAGAAAAATCTAATATTTATTAAAGAGCTTGCACATACTTGTGGACTAGCCATTACAAGAACATCAAAAATGATTTTGGTAATTACCAGTACTCTTAATTCCGTGCAGCTATAGCTATGTGCTCTTGCACTGGGTGGTGGTGTAATACATTTCTTAAGCACTGTATGACTTATAACTGTATAACTTAAACTACGGCGACTGTCCCACTAAGGCAGTTCAGCAGCATCACTGTGAGAAAATCCATCCATCAGTTATTGCTCATCCATGTCTGTGTGTGAAAACAGCTCAGCTGTAATTATTATTATTTTTGACTAACTTGCACAACAGTAAAAATGGTATCATTACATTTTCAGTAACTTAAGCAGACCCAGTCACTGTTGTGCCAAACGTTTTATACTACTGTTCAACTCTAAAGCTCTTATATATCTTGTTTAACATTGGCCTGTTGACTCCTTGTCTTACCTTTCAGCCCAGCAGGGCTTTCTAGCAGGGCAAGATGAAGGAGATGCATTATCTGTCAGACTGAAGATGTAAGTGAGAGAAAAGTCAAGTCAGATTTGAAAGACTCCAAAGATTAAATATCTAGCTGTTAGTCACATAAAGAAGACAGTTTGAGGAAGGAGGGCTGCAAGACTACAAGACGACAGAGCAGACAGGGACGATACAATATCTCCCTCTGTCTCACTGATTAAGCGTGCAATTTAAAAAGCAAAATCTACCATAATTTAGTGTTCATTTTTTATTGTCCAGTGAACACCATTTGCTACATGCAGAGCAATGTGGTTTCTGTTGCTACAGACCTACAGACTTCAGCTTAAACATGAGCAGAACTACACAGTAACTGTAACCCACAGTAACAATTGAAACTCATTAATGCTCTGACATCATTTATCGCCTCGTCTTGGATTAACTGTGGCACAGAGCCACAATGAAAGACAGATGAGGACTAAATGCAAAATAATGCTTTCCAACATCATGGAAAAGGACGGGGCTTAATAACTTCATCGTGTAGTGCAAGTCTTCAGTGATGGCATTTCATTTTTGTACAATTATTTGTATTTTTATGATTGAAATGCTGGGTAAAGGTATAGTGAGATATACACAGACAACGGTGATGGAGTGGTTCCACATTGAGAGGTGTGCATGTAAAGTAGTGCTTTCTCAACCGCAAACGACACCTGCCTCTGGTTTAAGTCAGGGGACAGAGGGATGGAAAAAGGGTGGAGAGGCTGGGGTGGACTGATACAGAGGGTGTGCAGAGCTTGACGCTCTATTCAGAGCAAATTGGAAGAAAGAGTCAGGTGGCTGTGAGGAACACACCAAGGACTAAAGGTCCTCTTTTTAGGTGGAACGGACACAGGAGAAGATGCCCTGGTCTTGACGCTGAGATACTCTCTCTGCCCTTCAGGGTCACTGGCTTTAGGGAGGATGTTGGCCATACACTTTATGTTCAAACACATGTTAGGAGTGTCTGCTACATCTGGAACCGCACTAGGATGACAAAATACAAGAGAGTAGGAGTCGAGAGAGAGTGAAAATAATCCAAAATGGAAGAGAAAGTAGGGAGGCACTGTGTGAATAAAAATGGAGAAACTGTATCACGGTAGTTGGCCTAAAATACCTGTGAGTGCCCTGACTAGAGGAATCAGAGACTGGATGACTTTCATCATCTGCCTCATCCTCCTCCTCCTCCTCCTCACCCTCCTCCTTATCAGCCTCATCGTCTTCCTCTTCCTCTTCCCTGTGGTGGGCGAGGAGGGGTTGAGGGTTGAAAGGAGGAACGGGAGGATGCAGGGGAGGCGAGAGAGAAGAGAAATTGGACAAAGACAACGTGAAACCACACAGCAGAAGATAAAAGGGAGAGCACACAGAAAAGATGAAAATCTACAGACATGCTTTTCAAGAAAGCATTAAAATTATTAGTGCAGAAGAGAGACATGCCTGAGAAGGTTAGTAGAATTTTAGTAATCCTGGTTTTATGACATGATAAAACAGTTAAAGGACAACTTTAATAATACCACTAATACAAAAGAGAAGAAGAGTATTTGATTTAATAAGGAGTGTTAAGCCTGTAGGATATGTTGTGTGTTTGAGCTGATAGTTTGGGGGTCGCCATACACGAGTCTGGGCCGGTTTGCTGTTTGGATCTCTCTCAGTTGTCTGGATTTCATTAACAATATGGAAAATTGTGATCTTCAAAGGCGGCTTGAATTTCCTGTGGTGGACTGGAAGAAGCTAGCTAGCATGGTATCATATGACCTGCTGAATTGAATTTAAGTTAACCTGAAGATCTGAGTGCTACCAGGGGTAAGGGGTATGCTTCTTGTAAAAAGCTTGTTAATAATGATTGGGGAGAGAAAGACAAAAAAGAAGACTACAAATAATTTCCAGTTTGCCTCCTGGAGCATGATCTAGAATAAAGAGGTTAAAGTAATGTTCATCAAAAGGATCTGTGCTTTTATCGGGTATAATCCCTTTAAGCATTTAAACAAGGCTGCAATTTGCTTCTTGCCGGAGTCACCAGATGCAGTCTGTGCAGTCACCAAGGTCTGTCATATATAAAACATGTGGCATGGTGGAGTTTAAGATCAGTGCACGCCCGCTGAAGGAAGCCTGACTTCAGAGTGAGAGCAGATAGCTCATATCTCGTGTTTGCAAAGGCTTCCTTTTTCCTCGAGCGGCAGGAGAATGTCTGTGACAGAAAATTAATTTAAATGTCACTTTGCTGCAGCAGTCTTCTCTTTGCCATTCTTTAAATTACTATATAATGAAATTCTTTTCCTCAGCTCTGGACAGGGTAGAGCTCCACAAATGAAATATAATACACACTTGTAGTCGGGCAGCCTTCCTGTAAAATAACTCAATGGGAATCATTTGTGATTCCTTTTTACTTGCAGCTATCTTTCAGGCTTTAGATCACCCAGCTGGATGAAACATTTAATAACGAGGTCATGGTCGACCTGCCTGTGCATGTGCTCTGCTCTAGGTCATTACTTAATAAACGCCAAACTAAATCTTTCTTTTAGTGTCCTAATTCTCTTCCACTTCTCCTCTCCTTTGCTTCTTTTGCAAACTTTACCTTTCACTGATATCTTCATGCTGGCTACCAAAGCGGAGGAAGCCACTTGCACGAGCGTGACTGGTGCTGGGTGATGCTGGGGCAGAAGCATGGCCTCTGCTATTCTGAAGCGAATGTCTCCGGCTGCGTCTTCTCTCCAGGCCTCGCCTCTCATTAGTGCCGCCGACACTGGCCCGCCGGCGGTCCTTTCGCCCACTCGGGGGCAACTGGGTGTCATCGTCACCGTCCTCATGACGGAGAGTCATCTAGGTCAAAGAGACAGCGAGTGAATAAAGTATAACAGGGATCTTTACACAGACGCATTCCCGGCTGCTATTTGACTTATTAGACACACTGAGCTTGCTTGTACAGAGATAAAGGTTTGTACTGAAGGCTTCCTGACCTCATAGATGTTGAACTGTTCCACGAGGTCGAGATCAGTGCCTTTTCTGCTTAGGTGTCTCTGGGCCGTGGCTTCGATGCCTTGCTCCTCCAGACAATCCACCATGTCATAGTAGGAGTCCTGGTCTGGTAGGCCTGCCAACGTCTGAGACACGCACAGAAGCAAACACATGCGAATTTCCATCCATCCATTTTCTTAGCTGCTTATCCAATCATTCAAGCTGTCACAGGGCAACAGGAAGGGTACACCCTCGATACTTGCCAGGGCCAACACATGATAATGAAACAATAACAAAACTAAACTGATAATTCACCTGCAGGACTGAAGCTAATCTGAGTAATAAATAATATATTCAAGTAATATATTTAAAAACGATCTGTAGCCAGGCTGTATACCTAAACATATTAGTAGTATGTAAACACATTTTTCTATATCCACAAGGATAATAAACACTGAACACCAGCAGCCCTGTATCCACACTTAAATCATTTTACACTCCTGCAGTTTATTCTTCATTACCACAGTTACTGCAATTTCATATAAGCAACATTTGCAATCCCACAAACACACAAATACAAATGACCTCTCACCTCAAAAGACTTTCTTTGTTATCTCTACATTATTCAGGTGCTGATAAAACAATCTATATACAATATATAAAGGGGGCTTTAAATGTAGCAGATTGGGAAGGAAAACCACTAGAGACAGGCAGGTAAATGCTATACTCCAAGGTAATGCAGAAATAGTTGGTTAAATAGTATCTAAATAGTATTTACTGACCTTATTGATGAGCGTCATTGCGAACACCAGCAGCTCTGTATCCACTCCATCCTTCTCATCAAGGATCTCCATGACATTTGACCACAGTTTTGTACCTGCATCATGAAAACACATGCAACACAAGTGTGTATAAAAAGAAAAGTTATTTCAAGGTTTACAAAGATGCTGAACAACTACAAAATCTGAAATCATCCATTTGATCATCTCACAGTTTGTCATAAAAACCGATTTGGCTCTGTCGCTGTGTAGCAATATAAAAAATAAAACCTTTTAAGTCATCTTATTGCGCCAGCAGACTTTGCAGTATGGCTTTCATCTTCCTCTAGAAACACAGCAGTAAAAATGAAAAACAAAAAACGGAGGCGTCTGCATGTGGCAATAAGCAAGGAGCACCGTCTCAGCCATGAAGACCAACTCCTCTCATCGGGAGACAGGGGATCATGTTCAGTCCTCTTACGCAACAGCAGAAGTGACAGAGGGATACCTGAGCCCTGCACACGGATGACCAACCCCCTGCTGTATGCCACAGCACAATGCTGAGCTTTTAGGATGGCAGGTAACTGAACCCCACTGCAGGCAGGAGATAGACTCCTTCTCAATAAGCCTCATTCCATGCGTGGCTGTGGCGCGGCTGAGAACAACTGATCGGACCGCGCTTTCTGTGTTTTACTGCTCAGGTTTCACTGAGCAGCCGAGAATTAAAACTTAATGATGATGCTATGTAGCAACAAATCCCACAGAGACTAAATATAAGGTGAACATATTCAATAATTAAATAGTAGCACACACTGTAGTTTTATGGGGAAGTAAGTGGAATTTATGATTGGCTTAAAGACTAGCATATGCAAATAACTCCATTAGCTCCAACATATTACACACTGAATTCACTGACACTCTGGTTAATGCAGCAGGTTTCCGATGTTTTCTCCTTTATTAATATCTATACTATGTGAGTGTGGGAATAGAGAACGAGTCGGTCCCTCCTTTGACAGTAGTGTTGTGCATTTATGTTTGTTTCTCAGTTATGCAAGCATCGTACCCCTTTTGGTATCCACAGCGTTCACAGCCTTTATGAGAAGGGCAGCATTGGACTCGGTGTACTCGACAAACACCAGCAGCAGCTTTAGGGATGTCTTCACCACCAGACGAAACTGTGGAAAGAAAAACAATCTGTTAAAGCAACAAACACAGAGCGCACAAATTCAACTGTGAACTTAATGTTTCTGCAAACAACTATGATGAGCATGTGCAAGCCCTTTAAATTCCAGATGCTTAATGGCATCAAATGGTGAAAGCCCTTTCCTTTAGGGGCAGTCTTGCAAGGTTTTGATAAGAGTGCTGTGTGCCACTGACGGCTCATGGGAACACACTGTACAGCAGTCAGACGGTATAAAAATGCCATAAAAATCAAAATGCTGAACCACAGATGAGCCTCAAAATAAAGCAAGATATCTAAGGTTTAGTAAATGTTTCCAGTGATTTACACCACTGTAAAATATGGAAAAAGAGATTTAAGAAAAAAAAGTAGGTGAGAAGAGTGTTATGGTTATGATATGCTGCAAAGCTGAGGTTAAAATCAACACAATGGGAGGGGTGGTGCACAACAAGTTTTCTTTCCTGGCGAGGTGATTACAAAGACGGGGTTCAGATTAAAAGAAAAATAAACCAGACACCAAATAGTTTGTCAGTATTTACACGGAAAGGCAGGAAAGTAATTTGTAAGAACATCAAAACTGTGTGAAAAGAGAGCCAGTGCAGCTCCCTCATCTGCTGCACATTTGCTGCACATACTGCAGTCTGGCCAGTAGAGGGCTGAGGTGACCACACTGACAGCAGGGCAGCAAGTATAGGATTTTATCCTTCTCATCAGTGGCCAGGTGGTGTCGTTGAGTTGATCTTACAGGATATCTACAGTGTGGAGTCATTTTAAAAATTTTTTTTATTTTTTACCTTGGATCCAACCAGCGTGTAAAGCCACTGGATCGTTTCATTGTGAGATATGAGGCCGTTCATCCCGTCCACGTACAGCATTATTTGACCAAGAGCTGGAGAAAAGGAGAGTGGGAAAGGCAGACAAAAGAAAGACATGGGAGGAAAGAGCACAGGGATGGTCAATCGTATGGTATTACAGTTGATGTTTTCATCGTTTCATAATTGTCCATCAAACCTGTCTTTGCTCTCAGTGGAATCCTGACTATGCAAAGCAGGTGAAACTTAAGTTTCACCAATGATTAAGGGATAACAGACTGTATTCAGTTTACTTTGGTGCTTTTTGAGAGATTTCAGCCCCAATATATGACAGGAGACATGACCTTGTGGTACAATACTGTGCAAAAATCTTTATATTTTGCTAGATAAATGAGGTACAGTGGTTTACTCATACGTGCAAGTATACATGGAAATTTATATGGCGAAACCAGAGTTTGTACAATTGATTTTAATGAGATTGGAAATCAATATTTGATTTACTTTATCAGAGCCTGAACTCTCTTAGGCAGCTTTCTTGTCATTTCTTTAAGGAGTCTTCAGGAATTGCTCTCCAGGCTTCTTGGCTGGGGAGGCCAAACCATGACTCTGCTTTTACTGCATTGGCAGTGTGTTTGGGATCATTGTCGCGTCAAGAATGAAGCTTCTGCCAATCAGGATCTTACCAGATGGTATTTCATAGTGGACTAAAATATGATGGCAGTTTTCTGCATTCATAATTCCTCCTCTGTAAATACTGTTGACAATGCATCACTCTATAAGACTTCTGACACTGACCTTCAGTTGAGTTCTTGTGTAATTTGGCATACCTCAGGCTTTTCTACCCGTTTTCCTCCATTAAGAATGACTTCTTGACATCCTTCCATTGAAACCGTTCACTTCTGCTGAAGATACCATTTAAAAATGTCATGCATAGGCAAAACACTGTTTCACCTCTTGAGCTGGTTGCCTTCCTTATGCTTGAATGATTCATATGTTGATATTAAGTGGCTTAACGAACAAAAATCATTGCTCTGGTCGGGTATGAGGACTGGTTTGAAAATGGTTGAAGAAAAGCTTTGAAAACATTCAGAAAACCTGGAAAACTTGTTCAAGATGACAAAAAATATACAAGAAAATCTGCCTCCTTGCAAGCAAGCTATCAAGAAATGAGGAATGGCTCAAGACTTGTGCACAGCACTGTATATAAGACCAAAAATGTACACTATCAGATCATTTCCCCCTGTATTATTCACACATTCTCTAATTCTTTTTTATTTTGGTGAAATAAGACAATGATCTTCCAACACTCTAGTTTTATATATGTAGTAATTGTAGTAAATGTAGTAGTAATTATATATGAACTGTACATGCAAACTGGAGTTGCTGTGAAAATTGAAAATCTCAACAATTAGGTGAAGATCTTAAAAAAAAACATCACTTGTCCACATTCAACTCTCAAGTTAGTGGACACAACTGGGGGCAGTATAACTGAGCAGAGTGCCTCAATGGAAGCTGACATGACTTCTATCTGTAACAGGATACATAAATAAGAACCTAATCAGAGCCAAGGGATCTCAGTGGGGGGCAGTAAAAGTGTAGGGCTTCTGTTGAAGGAGATGGGGGAAGGGAGATAAACATTACAGGACAGGAGTGGAACAGACAAAAGCACCATTTAAAATGTGGTGGGTGTTTTTGTTTTGTTTTTAAAGCAGCATCTCAGAGGAAGTCCACACATGTAGAAGTAATGCTTTCATACATTAGACCACAACAAGATGAGTTCAGTTTGAACCCACAGAAACTTTACATGATACATTAGCTGACACGGGGGGAAGAGCACGTGACGCATTAAAAGTGGAACATTTTTGGAGAGCCTGTTTGACTGTTTCTTGGCAGAAGTTAGAGTGTTGGGAGGTAATAATACATAGGAGAATATTCTCAATAAGTCAAGCCATTGGTGTTTTTATTCAGAAGGATCATATATATATAAAAGTGATCAGATATATTAGCAGCTGTGACAAAAAAGCAGAGAAACAGGTGCTTTGAAACTGTATACATTCACAGATTTTGATCTAATCTCTTCTTTGTATGTTTACATCACTTTCTTATAACATGTTATGATGACAGGCTGCACTTTCTGTTATATACGTATAAATTTCTTCATGCAGTCTTCTAGAGCGGCATTGAAAATCGCGAATATGCAGCTGATAGGCCAAAATTCCCAGGTGCAGCTGCTGTGTGTACATGATGTGTGAGAGCGTGTGGGTGGACAGGCCCTGTGTGTGTCTGTGTGTATGTGCTTGCTGTCGGCGTACTGCAGCGGCAGCAAGCAGCGGTGGCGACAGTGCATCTTTTATAAATTGGGGTTAAGTACTCGCAACATGTCAGAACAGAGAAACGGTCCTTTCCCACTGCGAGCTCTGGGCGTTGTGTCACAGCAGACCACAATAGAATGTGTTTTTAAAAAAGCGATTGACTATCGGTCAGTGCAGGCCAGAGAGAAACCCTCTGTAACTATCCCACCAGACAGCTTTAAAGAGATCATTTACAGCACACTGTGAGCACAGAGTACAAAATAATGATGCACAGTCAATTTTTATACAAACACAAAACAGCCTCAACTTTAAAGAGCTGTGTGGCATTAGCAGACCTGCAATATCATCACTGCACACTTATCTCTTGCGTGCACCTGTGTACGGTATCTGCCTTAGTGCAATGTGCTTTTAAGAAATTCCACTGAAAACACGCATCTTTAATGAGACTTTTAAGTGTCATTACGCAACACGAATGTTCAGTTGCTGACAGATGAGACTTTATCTATCCACCACAAAGCGAGCAGGCTTTTAGATCACGCTGACATGTTATCACAAGGCAACATTTAAAGGTTTTAGCCTATAGAACAGAGGTGCCAAACATAAGGCCAGAATCGGCCCGGCAAAGACTCCAAACCAGCCTCACTGCATGGAAAATGTGAAGGCATATATTTTGCACTTTTAACTGTATTTTGCTACGTTTTACAGCTTTTATGACATCCTTACTACATTGACGTGATTAAGAGAAAAAAGAAAACAACTGAATGAGAGAAAAGTTACCATTTTTTCCCCACTATCTACCATAGAAATTTGTGATTGAGTGACTGGTGTGGTTGAAATTACACTTCTTTTTCTTACAGCAGCTTGCAAAAGTATTCGCCCCCTTTGAACTTTTCCACATTTTGTCACATTACAGCCACAAACATGAATCAATTTTATTGGAATTCCACGTGAAAGACCAACACAAAGTGGTGTACACGTGAGAAGTGGAACGAAAATCATACATGATTCCAAACATTTTTTACAAATAAATAACTGCAAAGTGGGGTGTGCGTAATTATTCAGCCCCCTGAGTCAGCACTTTGTAGAACCACCTTTTGCTGCAATTACAGCTGCCAGTCTTTTAGGGTATGTCTCTACCAGCTTTGCACATCTAGACTGAAATCTTTGCCCATTTTTCTTTGCAAAACAGCTCCAGCTCAGTCAGATTAGATGGACAGCGTTTGTGAACAGCAGTTTTCAGATCTTGCCACAGATTCTCGATTGGATTTAGATCTGGACTTTGACTGGGCCATTCTAACACATGGATATGTTTTGTTTTAAACATATCCAACATATCCATTTGTTGGTCTTTCACGTGGAATTCTAATAAAACTGATTCATGTTTGTGGCTGTAATGCGACAAATGTGGAAAAGTTCGAGGGGGCCGAATACTTTTGCAAGCCGCTGTATGTTACGATATCTCAGGTTTTAAATGTGTAGGTAAAAATCTTTGATTTGATAGATGGAGGCGTTTCATTGGTTACACCTTGAGGTGACAGTTGTTGTGATTTGACGCTATATAAATAAAGTTCAATTTAATTGGTCCGGCCCTCTTAACATCAACGTGGGCTGTATGTGGCCCACCATGCAAAACGAGTCTGACATCTCTGCTACTGAGAGCCAGTCACTCAAGCAGTCAACCGCGCAAAAAACAATCAGAATAAATATCATATTTGAATTTAATTTAGCGAACAGTTAAGATATGGAAATGATATGTTACTTGAACCGTCATGTGGCGCCAGAAAACACACAGCCATTACCTTTTTTCTCACATTCATTAAAACTGCTGCTTCATGAAATTATTCATTGCCAGCGGCCTCTTGATGTACGATTTGACTACAAATCCAAAAACCGCAAAGACCGAATGGTTAGGTAAAATGATACTGTAACTGTTTAGAAAAAAAATTAAATTACCTGTCATTATGGGAAACCTTCATATTCTGGTCAAAACAGTTAAAAGGAGACATTTAATTACTCTCCAAACAATCACGTATGCGGACTGCAAATGAAAGCGATTTACACACACTTTGCTTTAACTAGTCATTTAACGGCCCTTTAAGAATTAGGCTGCCTGCTTCTTACAGTTTTAAGCTTTGAAACTGGGATGAACGTTTGCCATACTTCCCTAAGTGTTGGCCCAAAACCCAGGGTTGTTTTTAAACTGTACAACAGACAGTCATCTATAACTTTAGAAGAGGGTTAATAAGAGGAACATGTGAGTCCAGAGTCTGTAAAGGACTCTCTCCACTCTCAAGCACTGATTTGGGGCCAACAATGTGGGCCTCCATTTATATAATCATGAGCAGCTTTACCATACCTCACACAAAGCGCAACAATAACACTGCTAACTCCCTTTGTATGTACTGTATGTCACGTAATAAGATGCTTGCAGACAATGAGCTCCCTTCAAAGCACAGTGATTAGAGTTAAGATGCATGCCACTGGGGAAAAGGACAGCCAGGGTAAAAAGGACAGCTTTAAAGAAACTTTGAAGTGTCGAGTGAGCAGCCTGTCATCGGTGCAGCACTCTTACACTCAATTTATTTCAACATGCAACTGCCTTAAGAGTGAGTAGAACATTTGGACGACACAGAGTTGCAGCAGGGAACCACAGACTAGGAGACTGGAGGAGACAGACCCTGCTCCCGTGTCTCAAATTCTGAGAGAAGTACAAAATCAAACAACTGAAGTCTGGTGGAAGTGTTTCTTCAGGGCCTCTCCCTCTC